CAGCAAGTCCAGTGTCATGTCTCTGAGTGACCAGTACCATATGCTGCAGAGGAAGGTGCAAAGCTGCCACAATAGACAATTAAAGAACAGTCTTCTCATAGGGCAAGGGTTCTCAAACTGGGGGTTGTGACCCTTCAGAGGGTTGTGAGGTTATTACACAGGGGGGTCACGAGCTATCAGCCTCCACCCCAAACCCTGATTCACCTCCAGCATTTATAATAGTTTTAAACATTAAAAAAAAGTGGCTTTTTAATTTATATGGGGGGTTGTACTCAGTGGCTTATTGTATGAAAGGGGTCACCAGTACAAAAGTTGGAGAACCACTGCCATAGGGGGAGGTTCCTCCTACTCACTATAAGGTAGTGCTTGGCCTATGCCCTGAAACATGTGCCTTTATATTCCTTATATTTTTATCCTATTATCCACATCAATGTCCCATCCCTTTCTTGAATCCTACTAAGCCTTTTTCCTCAATGATATCTTAAGGCAGTGAGTCCCACAGGTGAATTATACATTGTGTAAGGCCTCTTGCCTCACATGAAACAGCTTAACTGATGTTTATAATGTGCTGTGGTATCTTTGGAATGGAGGGATTTGTTATATCTTCCAGTACCATTCCCTCAGGGTTACTTATTCTTTGCCTCTTCTCTGCTTTGACACTGTAGCTTCAGTCTTCATTACCACATCTCAGCCATTATTCAATCCTGGTTGGCCATTCATTTTCCACAACCCCCTGAATGTGGATGGAACTCTCCTCGTTTTGAAGAATTTGCTGTCTTCAACTCCTCCACCCCCAAAATCCTCCAAATGGAGGCTTCATTTTCTCAAAAGCTTTGCAAGTGGAGAGCTAAGCTGGAAAGAGAAGCAGCTGGATTTTCTCTCCTTGACACCTTTTATAGTACTGGCTGCTGCTTTATTGTGCTTCTGCTGTTCAGTCCACAAAATATGGCTTGTTATTAATAGAGTCTCTCAGTATCTCAGCTATTGAGTGAGGAAAAAAAAATCAAAGGAAGCCATTAGTAGGTGGCTTTCATAATCTTTGTTTTTTTCTATATTGAGGTCAACCTGGTAATTAGAATCTGGAATCCGCACATCAGATCTGCCGTCTCCGAAACACGGAGTCATTATAATGATAAGAAAAGCAAAACCCAAACTGATCCTGCTTCTAATCTCCCTGCAGAAATGGTTTCTGATAGATTGCCTTGCACCCTGATTGACACAGGAAAGCTTTATGTTTGCTTCATTTTTATGAGCTAATATTAAGCCATTGGTTCAATTTGATGATTCTCCCTGCCCCAACCCATTTATCTTTCTGTTTTTATGACCCCCTTTGCCTGTCTCTGTCTTTATCTCTTGTATGTTTCTTGGCACTGACTGCTCCAGCAGCTTTCTGGTAATCGTAACAATTCTAAATGTTCTGCTGTAGCAGAGACATGTGACCTCAGTCTAACTGCAGCACAAGTGCTGCTTCAAAGTCAAGAAAGGCTGGTGCACGTATTCTTTCCTCAGAAAGCAAGCGCCCAGGGGTACTGAGTGCTGAGCACCCCTTGGGATCAGGCACAAAGACAGCTACACATTTTGGTCCAAATGTGCATATTCATTTCTCACCGCCAACCCCACCAAGGAGGAACCCTTCAGCATCTAGACACTTCCATGCTCACCCCCAAAGAAGCACGCTGCAGCACTAACTTTAAACCTCTGTAAAGTATTTGCAGATTGAAAAAGGCTGAGACCACCTCCTTATCTCTCCCCCAACCCCAACCAATGAGAGCTCAGCACTCTGGGTACAGTCTGAAGAGAATTGCTCACAATAAAAGAGAGAGATAACATGTCTTCATGTGCTGTGGTATAAACAGGACTCTGCAACCCGCTCTATGCATGTCGGCCTCTTTGGTGTCCAGGGTTTTTTATTAACAACAATACTCTGAACTTATCTCAGACGCTGAAAGTCCCTGTCCATCCAGGCTGGCCAAGCACTTCACAGACATTAAAGAGATCACCCTTCCAGCACCCCTGTGTTAATGGTACTAACTCCATTGGGTAAAATGCGCCACCTAGTGGTTAAGGGCTGGATTTGGCCACTCGAGCTGAGCAGTACCATACCCTGGGAACAGCCCATAATAAGGCTGGCAGGAGCTGGCTTCATGTGACTTTCCCAAGATGGCACAGTTAGTTGGTGACAGAATAGTGAATACAGCCCAGAAATAGTGATTTCCAGCCTCCTGTATTAACCCTGGAGCCTCCCTGCCTTTTTATTGTTATTACTGTATGTAAATTTTGATCTGCAAATCAGAGCACATGAAGTGTGTGCCTAAAATATTGCCTGGAAAGCAGCGAGCTTGTTTGGTCAGGCCCCCAGCTGGCTGGCTGCCGCACACATTCCCACAAAGGGTTTCAGAGAGGCAGTAAAATGTGCCCAACATCACATCTTCCCTGGCCTAGCCAGGCCTAGTCTGCCCTGCACTGGATGGTTCATATACCCCATGTGTGATGGGCACACTTTATTCAAACCCCCACATTCCTGTGCAGTGTTATCTGGGAAGAGGCCATAAGGAATGTGTTGCCTTCCTTGATACTCTCTTGTTTCAGTAGCCTTACCAGAAATGCGCACATGTACCACGAAGTATGAGAACTCCTGAAGCCAAGGTGTTAGCTGGACCCAAGACCCACAAACTATGGGGCAGTTCAGGTTCAGAACTGGAATTATACAGCTCCAGCCCATCTGTACAGTGGACGGAGGTTGTAGCCATTTATAATCCATAAGGAAAACTGCATAATGTGAGACTGTGTGTGTGTGTGTGTTAGACCCAAGTCATAATTTATAATTCACAAGCTTTGGGGACAAATGTCCCTTCTGCAGATATGGTGAAAGACGTGTCCTACAGTACAGGCTGGGCAGTGACAGAGAAGTGTTTAAATAAATCAGCGTGTTAATAGAAACTGAGGAACAAGAGAGCGGTGGAAAGTGAGAACTGGAATAAAAGGCCATTAAGGGACAGTTGGAATATAAAGTGAAAGGGATTAATGGTGCAGTTGGTGTGAACAAAAGGCGAGAAATGGTGATGGGAGAGATCACTGCTAGGTTAACACCTGTGGTAACAAAAAGATATTTACTAATGAGAACCTAGTACACCCAGAAGGAACAGCACAGAATGCCTAGCATGCCCCTTATGTGTTGTGCTGCCATCACTTTCAGGTTATGTCAGTCACATTTCACTTTCTGTTGCTTTACTGATTATATTGATCTTTTCAGCGCCAGTAAGTTACATGGCACCAAAACTGAAACGTTTCTTATGCCTCCAGATGAGGCTAGAGTTTGAGCCCCTGAGCGACATAGTTATACCGATATAGGTCAGTAGTGTAGACCAGACTTTGGTAGCCAGCATGGTTAGGTAACTTGCAAAGCCACATTTCCCTCAGCAGGTATGTTTTAGATGCCTCCCTCAACCAGGCCAGTCGGTTTGAAATTGATTGGGACATTGACTTCACTTTACAGCCAACCAAGGAGTATGATGGCCTTTACCCCATGTTACATACTGTATTGTACCATACATGCCTCCTAAGGGTTGTATGAAGGAAAAGCGATCCAGAGTATCTGTCCTGGACTTAAAAATGTGGGCTAACTTTTGACAAGCACGATCCTGCAATAAATAAATACATTCCTATGCAAAAGAGGAGAGAAGCTTCTGTAAACGGATCCATGGGCAGGAATCACCCAGTCAACACAAAGGAAGCTGTGATGTTTCTGGGCAACCTGCTGATATCCAGCTGTTGGAGTAGTTCCCACCAACCAGCATTGGCAACCTCAGCAAGACGAGGGTATTGAGAGTCAGACTGGGAGGGTTTGGTGGCGATGCAAATAGGCGCTCTTCAGATCAGCATGGCGGCCCAGCTGGGTGGTGCCAGGCCTGTGGCAGCTTAGCTTCCATTAGCCCAGGGCAGGTAAATGAAGGAGGTGACTCACCAAAATCACAGATCTACATTTGTGAACTGTCCTGGTCTAGTAACCGCACCTTCTCTGCTGCAACCTTTTGCCATGCAGGCCGCAAGAAGAAGCAACAGAAACTACAGAGAAAAGATATCTATTATTCTGTCCCTTGCTGAAATGTGTGCTAGTTGGCTAATTAAGTAACACAACTTTAATTAGTTATTAATGAAAGCAATTAACAGAAGCCATGACGCCTAAATGAAAATAAATGGTAGTTTATGTAAAAATGTGGTTTCCATATATTGAATTTTCAAATTGGGATCTCAGATGGTTTCATTGTTGATTCTGCCATACATAGTTTGACTTTGGACATGTCACTGATTTCAAACCAGGTGCTTTGTTCTCCATGTTCAGAGTGCATAAAAATGGCTACTATATTGCTTCCCTCACTGGCCCTCCCTCTCATCCTCCAGGTAGCCTCAGAAGCTCACACCCAGAGTCCTGTGGTGGTGGCGCTGATGCCAGAGGCACCCTAACAATCTCCTATCAGGGATGTATTCATTCTGATCAGGAGAAAGAAGCAAAATGTTTTGCAATGTGATACTAGGATCTCCCAAATCACTCACATTTAGGTGACCCTGCCTGTGCTAATAGTTCTCTTTGGAGTAAATAAAGTACATGGCAACTGTCAGCATCTGGTTGGCTTTTAAGAGTAAGTGTTTCTGTTTAGCTTGAGGTTTTACGTACACAAAAACACGTGCTTGCCCTAATGACAAAAACAGTTCCTAGATCAGCTATGCAGTGACAAATTTCACCAGCAGGTGTCACCTTCATAGACAGTCCCTCATATAGGAAGGAATTCAGGCAGATGTTGTTAAACAATCCAATTTGAAATAGATGCTTTATATTCGTTAACGCCTTGCAGTACATCTTGTAAGAAACTCATCCCCACTATTAAAAAAACCAAAACGCCTTAGCTAGAAACAAGCGTGCAGCAAAGTGTGTGCTAACCTGTTTAGTTTCCCTGTGATCTAGTGTCTGTACCTGACGTTTGTTTTGCTTTTTCCTTCAGCAATCCCAAAGTTCAGGTGGAAGCAATTGAGGGTGGTGCTCTACAAAAACTGCTGGTTATTTTGGCTACGGAACAACCATTGGCTGTGAAGAAAAAGGTAAATTGGCCAAAGTGTGTGTGTGTATTAACGTTTCCTAAATATGACACCCAGGTGTATAGTCTTGCATTGGCACCATTACATAGTAATGTGATCTGTGTCACCTGTTCATGGATATGTGGTGCTTTATAATGAGGCACATTCACAGAAGTGGTGTCAGGCTATGTTCAGAGGGTCAGATTCAGCTCTGAGGTCCATGGGCATTTCCCTGCCCCATTCCATCCAGGCTGATTGGGTTCTGTTCTTCTTTCAGTGTACTCAAGGTGACCCACGTTATAGTTAACAAGCTGCAGTTGTGTATTGACAGGGAAAACTTGCCTCTCTGGTGTACAGAGCCATTAGCCAGCCCCCAGTTGTCACCTCATGGTAGCGATAGGCCTTGCCCTACTTTAAAAGGAAAACTCAGATCACACAGTGAGTTCATACTGTTGGACAGGCAGTGCTGTGTGTTAGATAGTCTGGGAGGGAGGGAGCAGATCCCGACATAAAGATCACAGGCTAATGAATAGGAGTCGACGTTCTGGAGAAGATAATTGCTACATCCACTTCGGCATCCTGCCTCAAGCAGGAGCCAATATCTGATGCTTCAGAGGAAGGCGAAAAGCTCTCCTAATGCCCCTAGCTAAATGTGTAGTTCTGTACGCTGGGGTACGGGATTCTTCACTCTCCTCTTCAGTGATCAGTTTATTCGCTCAAGCATGAGATCTGATTACCCTTATCTTAACATGCAAAGCTACAAATGGTTGTTGTTGGCCATAAAATTATCTAGCTCCTTTTCAAATCCAGGCCCAGCGTTTGACTCAGTGACCTTCTGGCACAGTGAATTCCACAGGCGGAGTGGAAAAAGTAGCTCCTGTTACTCAATCTTAATGCACCTGCTATTAGTATCAGTGATGTGCTGTCTGTATTTTAAAAGAGGATCCCATGAAAGTGTTCCCCTCTAGCCTGTGATAAACTCCTGAGTCTCAAGGAATGTGTGGGCCACAGAGAGGTATGGAGAGACTGAGGCATGTATTCACTTGCATGAAAAGATTCCCTCCTTGTCAAAGCTGGGCAGGCAGGCTTGTGTAAAGCTGCACTTGCTAGAAATGGTTACAGCATCTTCCTGAAAACGACACTGAGCATCCTGCTGGCCTAGCCCAGCGTGCGTGATGCAGGGCGTGTGATTACCTCACAGGGATGGTGGGGAGGTATCTAGGGAAGGGTTTGAAAACCATTGCCCTGAAGTGCAGTCTGTTTCATTTCAAAAGCAAAACTTTTTCTTTTTTCAAAGACCTCTGGCAGCATTCAGAGATGGGGTGACCTCACCAGAGGCAGAGAAAGCACCCCAATATTTTCTTTAATTTAATTTACTGACTGAGCTGTAACAAAGGACTCCAGAGAGCCCTTTCAACATGGCATGGAGTTTAATTGAGTGACCCTTCTTCTTGTGTTATGATAGGGTAAGGTTTTCCTTGTCCTTGTCATAATTTGGATGCTTCTGTCTAGTCTTCTGAACCCATCCCCTTTCCAGGCAAAATACTCCTAGTTGTGACAGTCTCTCTTCAAATCTAGGACCCCACCATCCAGTATGACAATCTTTAAGGCCTTTTTCTGAACAAAGGGGATGGCTCTGGTTTCAGCATCAGCTGCAATGCATGTAACATTCATGCGTGACAGGGAGAGATTTTTACTCCTATCAGAATGAAAACATGGTGAGTGCAGGAGAGTTATATTTCCCATCCAGCCATGCTTGGGTGGAGGAGGAGGCAACATGCCAGCACACTGTTACTATGGACTGGTGGTGAAGAGGAGACAGAAGCATCCACTAAACTACTGCAGGCAACTAAGAGATTATAAAATAGAAATATATTGGACTGGGAAAAAATAGCTGTCTGTTCTGATCTGCCCACAGTGGGTGCAGGAAACGTGTCCCACCATTGTGCACTAAGGAGTCAATTCCCATTGTTGGCAGGCTCTGAGATGGATGATCTCCGTAATAGTTCTTGTTTCAGCAGCAGCCTTTCCTGAGGGGCAGAATGGCAGTCTGGGTGCCTTTCTTAACACTTAACATATCGCCTCAAGTAACCATTTTTGTGAATATCAGAGAGGTGTAAAAATCAGTAATTTAGCCACAGATTGCCTCCTTCCTCAGCCTTAACCTCAGGTCTGTAACAGCTCTGAAAGGGAGAGAGCACCTAAACGTCTCCATCCCTTGCCAAAGTAATGCTTTATATTAGGATGAGTTATCTGTGCTGCGGTAGTGCCCAAAGAGCCCAAGAAGAATTGGGTTTGTACTCACACAGAATCAGAGTTCATAATCCAGTTTAAAGAAAAGGAGTACTTGTGGCACCTTAGAGACTAACCAATTTATTTGAGCATGAGCTTTCGTGAGCTACAGCTCACTTCATCAGATGTGTACTGATGAAGTGAGCTGTAGCTCACGAAAGCTCATGCTCAAATAAATTGGTTAGTCTCTAAGGTGCCACAAGTACTCCTTTTCTTTTTGCAAATACAGACTAACACGGCTGTTCCTCTGAATCCAGTTTAAGACAAGATGCACTCAGTGAGAGCAGTGAACAGGGAGGTGAGAGTGACTGGTGTACATCAGTGAGTTCTGAAGGATTAGAGAAACACTCAGAAGTTCAATATTTATCCAAGCTATCTGAGCTTTGATGGGGCTGGATGCTTGTCTGCCAAAGTGACATCCACCAGAATCCTGGTACTACTTCTGCTGGTTGGGCTGGAGATTTGAGCATAGTCTTTGTCAGGGTATTTGGGCACAGAATCCAGACTGCAAAACCCCAGAAGGAGACAATCGTTGGCTTGGGTTCAGTTCAAGTGATGGACATAGGTCCAGTTTAACAGACCTACTGCCTGAAATACAAGTTAACAAAGCTCAGTGAGAGCAGAACCCATCTTGATCTGCAACCTGCCTCTCTCATGTTACTCTGTTTCAGTGCTTCAGTATTGTGGTGATTAAGGCTATATAAATACCATAGACTGAATTAATATCAGCAGCTAAATCAAATCAAAGTAAAAATCTTATTGGCCCTACACCTATCCCAAACCTTGTATCTAATACAAGAAAGATTCAGAACAATGTCTTAGCCATTAGTTTCCACAGTCATTTGGACTGGTCACCTGCTCCTTCCTGCATATTCAGGCTTATCCCCACTATAGCAGGAGGAATGCAAGGTGCATTGGCTACAACAAGCTTTAAGCACAGAGTATTTCCCTATCTCAGCTCTGATATTTAGAAAGAGCCTCTTGTGCAACTCCACACTCTAGCGCTGCATTTGTTTATCACGCTCCTTGGGGAACTGTAGCAACAGCAGACTGCTTGCATCAGATACAGACAGATGTAACCCTTGTGTAAGCAGCAGCCTCAGTCAATTGTCCTGGGAGATAAAGAATATAAATCCTTTGTGCTTCTAGACCCTTTCACCCAGGGATCTCAGGCTCTTCCTGAACATCAGTTAGGCCTCACAGTACACCTGTAGGGTAGGCCAGTGATGATCTCCTCATTTCACAGAGAGGGAACCTGGGACACAGAAAGGTAAAATGATGTGCCATGTGTCACACAGTGAATCAGTAGCAAAACCAGGAACACAACCCAGAAATCCTGACTCCCAGTACTGCAATTGAACCACTAGACAAAACTGTTTGGAACCTGCCTTAATAGGGAGGCAGTGCCATGAACTGTACACTGTATCTGACACTATTTAAAGTAATTGCTCCAAAGTAACTTGTCTTGGAAGATTCTGTACAGCTGAGATAATAAAGTTAAGCTTTTCATTCATGACATTCCCACAAAAAGTGGGAGTGTGCTAATAAAATTTGTGGATGATGCAAAGTTGGGAGAGGTATTGCCAATATGGAGGAGGACCGGAATACCATACAAAAAGATCTGGATGATCTTGAAAACTAGAAATGGGGTGAAATTTAATAGTGAAAAGTGCAAAGTCATGCACTTAGGGACTAACAACAAGAATTTTTGCTATAAGCTGGGGATGTATCAGTTGGGAGTGAGAGAGGAGGAGAAATCCCTGATTGTATTGATTAATCACAGGAAGACTATGAGCCGCCAATTTAATGTGGCTGTGAAAAAGGCTAATGCAGTCCTAGGATGCATCGGGGAGGTATTTTCAGTGGAGACAGGGAAGTGTTGTTGCCATTATACAAGGCACTGGTGAGACCTCATCTGGAATACTATGTGCACTTCTGGTCTCCCATCTTTAAGATGAATTCAGACTGGAACAGGTTCAGAGAATGGTCCCTTCTGGCCTTAAGGTCTAAGAGTATATAAAATTGATGTGGGCAGTCTCAGTCTGTGAGAGCTGCATTGATGTGTTGACAGCATCTAACCTGGAGAAAAGTCAAAGGGCTTGATCCTGAGGGGTGTTGAGCACCTGCAGTACCCCCTGAAGTCAGAAGAGGTTACAGGATGAAGCAGGGGGTATGTCTACACTAGCTTTAACTGAGAGAGCTCGAGCAGTGAAACTGCAGCAGCACAGTCTTCATCAGGAGTAATTAGCCAGGGTTATGGGCAGGCTTGTACAGCCCCACCCGAAGCACATGGTGCTGCAGCTTCACTGCTCTGGTACCTGAGCTAGCGAGATTAAAGCTAGTGTGGGTATGTCTGCACAAGCTGCAGTCCCACCTCTGACCGCAATGTGGACGTACCCATGGTCTTCAAGTTCCTGGAAAAGAAGATAGCTGGGGGATCAGACACCACACTCAGGTTTCATGCAGAGATACCACCTCGCTGGTGATGAGAGATTTAAATTAATGAGGGCAAGTGTTTGCAGAACAGCAAGTCATGAGTGAACACAGTTGTGTTTTTCTCCCCTGATCAGAAGTCATTAAGTGAGATTGTTAATAGGCTTTTAAATCACACCCATATTATGTAGCATTAATCAGCTGCCTTTTGTGGCAATCCGTAAAGGAAAATGAAGCCAGAATGCTAGGGCTCTTCAGAATACAGATCACTGAGCAAGAGTTCATTCAGAAATGGCAGCTGTCGCTGGACTAGGAGACTGATTAACTGTTGTGCTTGCCAGGCTCTCTTTGCTTTGTCTTCAATGCTGAGACACTTCCCCTATGCCCAGCTGCAATTCCTCAAGCTTGGTGGCCTTCAAGTACTTAGAAATCTCTTCAAAGAAAAAGGCATGGAGAGTCTCTACATACGTGTTGTGACGCTGCTCTACGACATGATTTTGGAAAAGGTAAGAGCGCTGTGGGGCAGTTTGCTGGAGTCCATGTTCACTGGATGGCAGTGAAGATGTGAGCTATATACACTCTTGGGAGTGAGGAAATGCATGTGAATCGGGAACAGTTATAGCAATGCAAGACAGTACTTAATTAAAGGGCAGTTAATCTTCATTAAAGGGCAGTTGTATCAAGGCCAAACAAGCATCGTACCAAGGAACTCCCCAGGCAAAGACAACCTGTGCCTGCTGATAGTGGGGTGGGGTTGGGGTGTGTTGGGGTGTGGAGATTTGGGTTCAGCGGCTTCAGCAGTGTTACTGAGCATGATCAGTACAAGCCAAGCAGTAAATCTGGAAGGGCATGTGACCCTGCATGTCCCTCGCCCTCCCCCCGCCCTGCATCGCCTCTATCTCAAGGGGATGGGGGGCCCGCTCTGCTCCAATACGCCTCCCTGCAGCACTACAAGAGAAGCCCCTGTGGAGCTGGGTTCCATATTGCATAGGCAGTTTGTACTCCCTGGGTTGATCTCTAAGGTGGTTAGTCTCTAAGGTGCCACAAGTACTCCTTTTCTTTTTGTGAATACAGACTAACACGGCTGTTACTCTGAAACCTGGTTTGATCTTGTGTCTGAAGCTTGAAAATATTGTATAGCCATTTAAGCATCTTTTTAACAATAAAATCAATGTTTGTTTTGTTGGTGGTGGGTTTTTTACCCTGAAGTGTTAAAATCAAGAACGTGTGCTAGGGTGCAGGAGAGCCAGGAAATGAAACTGATCGTTCTGGTTTCATTGTCCAAAGTGAATGAAATGCAAAGAGAGTTACCAGGGTATCGCTGTGCAAACTAGCTAGATTTTTGTAATTCTTTTAGTTTTTTGGGGGGAACTGTACATTTGTAAATCTTAAGTTGTAACTAAGCAAACATCTAAACCTATTTTACTTAACACCACCTTTGATTATTACTGTAAATGTCAGTTTAAAACCCTGTTTACTAGCCAGTGTTTGATTTGTTGTTTATATTCTGCATTTCTATTACATTGGAGAATGAAAATCAATTAGGTCAAGTTTCACTTCTGTTTATAGTCAGTTTCACCTGCAGATTTTTATTGCTGTAGTCTTTGGGTTTCAGACCTTGAAGAAAAATAATTATATGTTTTAAAATTTGTTTTCAATTGACTTTTTATAAGAGATGGAAATATTTTTGCTACTCTGAAGTTTTATAAAATATAAATATTGGGTCCAATATAAGTTAACCCTGTCCCTTCAATGGCACAAATAAGGAATTTGTATCTATGACTTGTCTTAGCATTGTCCCTTTAATAATATTCTGTGTTTTAATACTGTACTTTTAGCAACTCCATCTGTTCACAGATTCAGTCTATTTTGAGATAATCTGCACACCCAACAAATTCTAAGTTTTATACAAAAACAATGACATTTATAGCTCTTTTGAGTGTGAAAACTACTTTCTAGGATGTACATCACAGGCTGCTCTCTTGTTACATCTGCAGACAAAATGGGAAAAAACAGCACCTGGTAAGGTGCTGGATCAATCTGAATAAGTGGTGATGTCACAACATGCTGTAAAGTGCTAGCTTCCGGGTGATTGACTGAAAAGAATAGGCTGCTATTTTTTTATTTTTTTTAAATGAAGCAAAACTAACTCCAGCCCATGCCGGTGGCAGCTCAGTGAAATGAAGCAGAAGAGAAGATGGTTCTGAACTGCTTTTCCTGCTTCATTGTCTCTGTTTAACCCTGAATGGATGGACAATCTGTGTGCATTGAAAATAAAGTTTTCCAGGTGGTGGAAATGGCTTTCCTGCAGGATTGTGGGAAGGGAAATCTCACCTGAGTTTTTCTTCTTTTTCTCCTCACATATGGTAAATCAAAGTATAAATACAATGCTGTGAAACATGCCAGGAACAACCACCCATGGGATCAACAAAAGTCAGCTAGGTAGCAGAGGGCCCTTAATTAAAGGTCAGATAAAATGTTACAGGAAATCTTGAGGAGACTCAAGTGGTCCCGCCAGACAGGGGGTTGCTTATTAGCAAGGCTCATCCTTTGGGCCAGTTTCACTGTATCTCTGCTGATTTCCAGCCTTTTTCTTCTGCATATTTGGATTTGTTCTTATCAGACCTGTAAAAGCCCTAATCTTCTCTTAATGATGATATGGTAGCAAGCAGACTTGCGCTTTTCAGATCTAATTAATGAAGCGCATACATAGTAATTATCACAGGATGCCAGGAGCCAAGCCAGTGGAATAGCTCTTAAAGGGAAACAGACCCCATATTGCTCTTCTTTGGGAAATGGTGGCATGATCAGCTCCTTCTGGCACACAGACTGAGAGATACATCTAGGGTCACATTCCAGCCCGTGACACATGCATGGGATTCCTATATATGTCAACGACTGCTTCTCACATTCACCTACCAGCTCTGCTAGGGCCAAATCTTTAACATCAGTGTTTAGTATTGAAGCCAGCTGTAAAAGGATGTGCAGGTTCTTCAGTGTGACACCTGCCCTGTGAGTATCTTTACTCAGAGTATGCTAAGCCAGCTCAGTCCCCGCTGCACAGCCCTAAATGTACCAGTCGTAACTGAGACTGTGGGGTGGGAATCCACGTCTCAGCTCACTCATGGCAAGGCTGTTGAATGTCCATATAAGTGCACTGAACAGAATGGATGCACCTTTTATTTAGGGCTGGCATAAGGTGAGCATTCGGTTGGGCCATGGCACAATCAAGATCCTAGCTCATACCCTCGCTTCCTGGGCCAGCAGGAGCTGGGACCACTGTGGAAGCCACGTGCCTGGTCTCTGGATGTGGGGAACAGAGCACTGGGGCTTGGCCCAAGCATCCCCTTCTGGCTGTTGTCAGAGCAGCACCAATGAGCTAAGTTCAGCTAGAGAGAGAGAATTGTGATGATGTAGAGCTTGAGCATGGTGCCGCTGGCGAACCACAGTGTGAAAGATGTGGGGGGAGGATCCTGGATAGACCCCCCCCCACCTCCTAGAAAAGGCAATGGAAAGCAAAAATGAGGCCTGAAATGCCAGCAGGCTAAAAAGTCAACTCTCTGCCATTTGCTGCAGACAGCAGCACCGAGGCCACGGGCGCAGTGAAGCCTTCAGGCAACGGCTTCAAATAAGAACAGTTTAAGGAATTGACTTGACAGGGACTTTTTCTGCCCTTTTCTCCTTTATTAAATGGGGGGGAGGGGGGTCTCATGTGGAACAGCACAAAGGCTCTACCAGTGTCCAGTGCACCTCGCTGTCCTCCTCTGGATTCTAGGAGCTCTACCGTATATTGTATGTAGGAGGATTTACCATGCAGTTCAATAGGGCTGTGCTGGCTTCCCTTTGGTATCTCACCGGATTCACCTGAGGCTTTGCTTGCTCGGTTCTGGTATAAAGTTGCCCCACAAAGGATATTTTATAAAATTGAGCTTATGCCCTTTGTTTCCCATCTCCCTCTCCCCACTCAAAACAAAACTTGTTTTCTCTCTGCTTTTTTTAATCATAGAAATATCAAGAATGGCAACACTGTCTTCCCTAGCTTTGCTGGAGGCGCTTCCAGTGGGAGTCGGGAGCACTCTTAAATTAAGGATGGGGATGTTGAGTGTTTAACAAAGAGGATTTGTATCCAAAGTGTTTAGTATGTGCCGGAGTTATATAGGTGATCATGAAAATAAATAAAAAAATATGTTTTAAACAGTCTCCCCTCACTCCCTTCTCCTTTCAATCAGATTTTCAGTGTCTTGCAATATCATAATTCTACTCATTCTCCAATCAACTAGAGCTTTCCAGAGTATATAAGACCTGAATTTCTAATGCAAAAAAACCAAGCAAAACAAATCTAACTTCATGCACCATATAAAGAAATAAAATAGGGTACAGTGCTGTCAAAAGCCAGGAGTTGTGGGATGTCTGGATTCACCCATGGGCACTGATATACTGTATAACCTGCTGGAAACAGTACTAAGGGTAGGTGGTGTTCTTGGATACAGATAATCAATTTAACATGGTTTCTTGCAGATGCTGCTTGAGGATTCAGAGAACAAGGAGGACCAAATGGAAGAGAAAGTTCAGCAGTACAAACAAGTGAACCTGGTGCCAGCTGTGGTGGAACAGGGCTGGTGTGTGATTATTTCCAATCTCCTGGCATTGCCGGAGCATGACACTCGAGAAAAAGTTCTAAAAACAGTGCACATTCTGATGGCCGCCTGCAGGGACGGATACCAAGGGGACTATGCCCTCAGCACCACACTGAACATGCTCCGCACCGAGTACGAAGAACTGGCAGCAGAAGAACAAAGGGAAGGGGACAACGATGGCTATTTTAAGGAACTCCTTAGCTCTATAAATACCATTATTCAGGAGTTAAGATCAGGATATCTGTAATCTGACTGAGCTTTAAAAAAAAAAAAAATTCATGACAACCTGGTGAATTTTGACGGACGTGCATAAACAAACTATTGAGCAAACTGCTGGTCTAAGCAAAATCCCTCCACAAGGCAAGTGAGCCAACAGCTCCATTATTAAAGAAAGATACAAACATTTTGGGGAGTGTTTTCATTTCACATTTTGGTCCATGCTAATATACCAGATAATGGGATATATGTGTTTAAGGAATATTGCATCTTGTCCTCAACCTCTAATATGTTTAATGTAAGTGACAGAATGTTTAAATCTGTTTAGTAAAATGCAGATTCTTCAGGTTCCAAAGAACGGATGCATTTTTGATCACATACTTGCTAATTCAGGTAACTATACATCTGTGCTTTGTAAAGGAAAAAGACTTTCCCACGAAACTGTGATCGGTCTTTGTTCTTTTTTTAATGGTGACCCTTTCTTTTGCTGCTTTACAATTTATACAGAAGGATCGAAAGCTGCTGTTAGGTTTTTATTTTTAAGTGTGCTTTCTGCTTGTGTCTTCCCTCAGAAACACCACCACTATCAACGCTTGTCTTCCCTGGAGGTCTGCATAGAGGACTCATAGATTCAGATTAGGAGCCTTCTCAGACCTTTGTTGAAAGACGTTGAATATTCAACAAAAAAGAGCCTTTCTTCCAGCTATTTGTTAGGGTTTTGAGTTAAATAGATGTTAACAAACCCCAAATAAAAACTCAGGCATTCTAAACAAAAAATAAATCATTAGAAATCATTTCTCCTGTCAATTAATCAGGTTTCTCTTGCTTGGTAACTGTGATGTCATAAACATATTTGTCCTCCAGTTTTTGATAGAGCCTCCTTAGAAAAGAAGGCTGGCCAAGACTTGAATTTCCAATGAGGGGGGAGGGGTCGAAAGGGAGCCATTGGCAGAGAAATCTTTCAGGCCTTTATACATCCAAAGAAACAAAACAAAAAGGCACCAGTCTGTCAATCAATGAATTTCCCAGCCCATGGTAATCAGGCCTGGTAGCTTCCATATATCATCCTCCCTGACTGGCAGCAGGGGCTAGTCAAGCACAGGGCTCGACTCAGCTGAGCCAGTGCTGCAGGTTGTACTCTCTGATGCTTTTACTTTTCAGATAAATGTCCATTAAAGGCTGGATTGAGGCCACCACTTCCATTTCCCCTGGGACCTGCATCCAGACCCTGACACAGGAGACAGCCTAGTACATTAACCCAGGGTAGCACCTGCCCCCTCCATCACTCCATTTTCTGTATCCACAGAAAGCCCTTTGATAACACTTGGATTTCCGGCAGTCACAGAGACCTCTGTATAGTCACATAAGTGTGTTTGATCTAATGCTGTGTCATCCCAAAGGCAGTTTCTCTAATACAGCGGTGGGAGGAGGGAGAGATGGTTTGGTCCCTGGGCCATGCAGACTTGGGCTAACTATGCCCTTTTAGAGTCCTGTTCTCTTTAATGTCTGGATTAGGCACTCAGCTGAGTGGATCCCCCCGTTTGGCATGATGGGCTGCTCTTGTAATCCGTGTGCCTCCTGCAGGGTTTCCCCAGCGGGAGTCCCTACTGATGATATAATAAATAGTTGTATTTATATGGCAGCCATCTGCCCGTGCTTTGTAGGCACTACACAAAACTGTATGCTTACAATGAAATGAGGCACCAAACACAAGATGTCCTCCAGCCCTTTCTAAAGATGGCAAAATCTGTGCAGCTGGAGGGGCCCTTGCTCCAACACAGAGTTGCTGCAAAAAAACTAGAGGCTGGATCTAGTTTGTCCCTGCAGAGTCCAGGAACCCCTCACAAGGGGGAAATGGTACACAGGCTTACATTATAGGCTGTGAGTCTTCAGGTTAACTAGCCATATGCCATCACCTTCCCTGCCACTGGCATAGGGGGCTAAGCGCCCAAACAAGACTTCCCTTTGTCATGCCAGAGAGCCCTTAGGGGTTGTTAGCTGGGGGGCAGCTGCCCAGGCTCAGAGATGTGCAAATATGGCTTTAAGCCACTTCCACATGCATGCCATACAGGAGTTGCTCTATATATGTTTCTGCCCCAGCTAAGGTGTGGAACCATGGAGTTCACCAGATCCTAACTCAAAGCTAAACCCTCCAATATATTCTCTCTGCCTGCTAACAGACAGCTGCTAGGTTACTTCAGCCCTGCCCCCTCATAATGATACCAGTGCACTTGGCAAGAGCGGTAAGCCAGCAATCAGCATCCAGCCTAGAGAGCAAGTGTCAGATAGCCAGGCTTGCTGGTGAAGAGGACTACTGTGGAATTGCTGTACCAGGGAAGGTCACTCTCTGGCACTAAACCAGCAACTGTAACCCTGAGAGCTGTGTTCGTGGCGATCTATGTAAACGAAGACCAGCAGCCAGCAAGGGATTTAGCAAATTGGGGGCTGAGATGGCTGATTGTCTCTGTAATGGGGTATTGGGCCCCAAATGCCCATCACCTAAAAGCAGCTTTGTTTCACAGCGCTAGCCAGGCCCCATTCTTTATCATTTCTGGAATCAGTTCCAAAATTGCTGTCTAGCACTCACAGGTACGTCAATAATTGTTACTCCAGTTTTGGGCATCAACAAGGAGTACGCTACCACTGGAAGAGAGAGACAATAGCAAAAAAATCTGCCGCACCTACAGTCACTACCTGGAAATTTGGACCTGCTTAGCCATCTTCAGTTTATGCTTCTTGTATTTATGAGGTCAGCATGACAAATACTGTGCTATGTGACGTGTCTGTCTAGGGCAGTTCCACCAAGCCATAACTGACTTGCTGTTCACGCTGTGGAATCACAGGCTGGCTGGCACTCACCTATGTGTATGGGCAGCAAATCCCAAAGTATTGTCAAGAAGGGACAAACAATTTATACCTCTCATGCACAAAATGGACAATCTCCCTCTATGCGTGACACAAGCCCACTGAGCTTTGTATTGATTGGGCTGTTTCAAAGCCCTTAGACCTTCCTTCTTGATGCTAAAATATTTCTATCTTTTACATCCTGTCAAGTGTCACTATTCAGTAACAGGTACTTATGCATATTGATTTACCTTTGTTTGGATGAAAAAATATTTAAATGCAGTTACAGAAATCCATAAGATAGCGCCAGAACGTGCCTGCCTCCCGGGCACATCAGTGAATGAATCATGGTTTGGGTTTGTTTTTAAGTTAGCACCTTTTCTTTAAGTAGGAAGTGCTCACTGGATGATGTAAAATAAGCCTTTGGGTTCTAGGGGTGCTGTGTTCAGCACAGCCCAGGTTGGAGCAGCAGGCCCCAGCTGTTCCACACTTCCCTTCTCAGCAAGGGAAACGAGCAATCCTAACAGTCTGAAACTCAGCAAACCGGCCCTGAGCCGTGACAGCAGTAGAACAGGGCAGCCAGTATCGTGTACAATTTTGATGTGCAAAAAAACCTCAAAAGCAAAGGTGACTGCTGCCAGTTGAGCCAGTCTGAATCCAATTCACAGCCGCTTACCCAGGGACATTTGATTTCCAGCCAGAGAAATGGAGAGCAGCATTCCTCATTGCTCAACATTGCCCTCTGCAGACCTGGCTCACCTGTGCTGGCACATGGACAAACCATCCCTCCTACAACCAGTGACACAACTACAGGGTTAACAGCATTGGTTGGATTGTTTGAAGTGTTATCTTACAAAAGGATGTGTGAGTTGAAACAGCCTAAGCCCCTGCCCCACAGCACCAAGGCACCACTCGCACCTCTGGGCTGGCATTCAGGAGGTAGGTGGGCGCAACCTTGGGGCCCAGCTGTAGGAAACATCTATGCCATCCTTCTTGATTGTACAATGTACCAGCCTCCTTAAACCTACAGTGGACGCCTCTGGCCAGTTCCCCGCAGCTCTCCCCGTCGAAGGGAGTGTTAGCCTTAGGCACAGATGGGCCATCCCTTACAGGCCTTCTATGCATTGCTCAGAAGGCAGCTCCAAATTAATTTTATTAAAAGCAATGGTAATTAAGTTAACAATGGCCCACGTGCCTGATCCCTGTTGAGCAATGGCTCAGTGACTGGTGCTAGGGCCTGGGCACAGATTTATTTGGCTCTGCTTGGGTTTTCTTATAGTGCAGTTTGATAAGCTAGTAGATGTCTTCGTGTGACCTTTGTGTCTTACAACAATGCCTTGCTGCAACTACAAAACACTGAAAATAAGAAGAACAGAAACCCAAGGTTGGCAGCCCTGAACATTCAAAACTCAGGCCTAGAATAACACATAAGATTCTCCGTACAAATATACATCTCAAGTTCTTTTATTTGGCTTCTCATGCATGGGTGGGGTGTCGTATTTTTCAAGCTTTTCCATGCTGCAGAGGGCTAAAAAAAAAAAAGAGTGTTTTGTTTTTTTTAAAATGAAAGTTGAGATATTTCCATATTCACAGGATTCTAGGAGCTGGGAAACAAAACATTGCAAGATAAAGAGCTGGCAACACTGGAAGGAAGTGCGCAAACGTGTGTGCCTGGAATGTGGATTGAAACCGTGCTGTTTCATGTTTGTTGGGAGGCACAAATTCCTACAGATTTTCCCCAGAATTCTTTGCGAATTGAAGGATCTGAAGTGTGTGGTGGCCAGCTGCGGGTAACCATCTTGGGGTGAACTGAAGCATAGAGACATTTAGACAGCCTGGCAGGGGAAATAGCCTGATAATGAGATCTCTTGGGGGAAAAGGTGCCCATGAATGGTGACGCAAGCACTGGTGCATGAGGCATTTAAAACAGGACCCACCCTAAGCATGGAGCTTTAGTGTCAAGCCCAAACTGCAATGGAAAGGCTAATAGGTACCTGCGGGCTCCATGCCCCTTGATTCTCTGCTGCTGCCTCTCTGTGACCGAGCAGAAAGGCTCAGCAGAGGCAGAATGTGCTGTTCTGGGCGCTGGTGCTTTTTGCAGCCAAAAGTGATCAAAATATTACAGTTAAAATAATGAACTGGGACTCTGCTTCTCCGCAAAGCTAAAAAGACTGCCAGAGTAACTAAGGAGCCGTGGGCAGGTGCTACAGGGCTCCTGCCAGAGGGACGAAGGAGCAGGCTCTTAGTGTGAGTCATGGCTCCGCAAAGCATAGGGACAAGGGAGAGTGAAGGCAAAGCTGTGTCTGTGGGGGGTAGTAGGGGAAGGAGGGGATGCACCAGCGGAGGGTCCTGTCCATTCTCATTGCTCAGTCCAAGCTGATGCTCCTAAATGGAACAGTCAAGTCCAACTTTCAAAGGACGCTCACAGAGCTCAGCTACTACTCAGCTGCCTTTCCTAGGCACCGGCTGGTGGTGTGAAGTCAGCTGCAGTCAGCATGGAGCTTGATGAATAGATACTGAACTGGGGCACTCTTTGCCCCTCGACTCTCTACCAGAGACAGACCTGGCGAGAGCTCAGGCTTCTCCACTTCAGATTAAACCTTTGGGGCCTGTGGATGGATGTACACGAGCACCATCTGACAATGATCACCAGGCTAGCAGTCTGTGTGAAGGGGCAACATGTAACAGAACCAGGGTCCCCTCTCACCTTTTCCTGGGAGAAAGGAGCTACAAGTTTGGGTACTTTAGGTGCCTGCCAGGTCCTTGATCGGGAAGGATTACCTTGCCCTGCACACTCCAAAAGACAGTGTAGCGCAATCCACATTGTTACAATGCCATAGCCAAGGCTGGCCCAGCAGTGCCCTTCAGGGGTCCACTCTGACAGCTGGGACAACACGGACCTGCCTGCTCCCACGGCTCAAGAGGGAAATTGCCACCTGGCCTGCACAGC